TCCTTAAGCTTCGGGGGGTCCTCCTTCAAGAGAAGAGGGGCCTCTATTTATAGATTTTGGGAATGGCATAGCCCGTAAATAGGTGGAGGATCAAGGGTTAGTTGGGAGTGGTTGAATGGACGGTCGATCTTGAATCCTACGATCGTGCACCTTTCGTTGGACATTTGAAGGTCTTAGTGATGTTGGAATTCGACAATTTTGGGCTCGTTGGATTCGTCTCGTCGAGACATTCGATTCGAGTATAAGATCGTAAAAATCGGAGTCCATTTGGTAACTCAAACAGTGTTATGAAGCTTCCAACAGCGCTTCGGGTCCTTTATTTGGACTCATTTGGGCTCGGATTGAGTCGAATTTGGAGTTGTTGGATTCGTATTTCTGAAACACTCAGTTCGACTATAAGTTTGTTGAAATCGGAGTTCAAATGGTTTCCGAATTAATTTATGAAGTTTCCAACTTGATTTTGCTTTGAGATTAGTGCCCGATCAAGATAATTTTTGTATGATGTATCAGTTGCCCCCCTATTTTTGGACGTCGAAACTCTAGGATTCCAAAAATATACAGTTTAGTCGGCAATGTTTTTTTACGTGACTTGAATGTACTCCGATCGTGGGTTTAGAGGAACCAAACACTTTAAAAGTGTAAAAATTGAGTCCGGAACGTCGAATAATGGTTTCGGGGACCCCAAAAACGTCCAATTTAACCTTTTCGGGCCCAAAATTGGGACAAAAATATATTCTGTAACTTATAATTTAAATAATAAAATATGTATAATAATATCAACTCTTCCCTGGTGGAAGAGTGGTAAGTCTTTTGTCATCCATGTCGAAGGTTATGGGTTCGAATCCAGGGGAAGGTATGGATTTTTTTTGTGATGACGTGGCAGCGACATGTGGATCGATGATGTGGCAGAAGCATGCGGATCGATGACGTGGCACCCATAACCTGTTGGGTCGTGGGTGACGTGGCCACGACACAGATCGTGGATAACATGGCACCCATGACTTGTTGGGTCATTGCTGACGTGGCCACGACACAGATCGTGGATGACATGGCACCCATAACTTGTTGGGTAATGGCTGACGTGGCCATGACATGCAGGATCGTGGCTGATCTAATAACTCAATGCAGGACGGATTGATGATGTGGCAATGCCACATATGACAGATCGGTGACATGGCGCCCATATGCAGGGCAGATTGATGACGTGGTGCTGACGCGTTTGATGACGTGGAACCCAAATTTTTTTTACTCACCCTTCTTCCTATAAGAAGTTTCACTTTCCTAATGATGTGGTTGCAGTGGCTCCTAAGAGATCTGATCTGGCTAGCGCCCCACCTCCCGGATATTTGACAATCTATGAGACCCATTTGCGATCAGGGCTGCGCTTTCCACTTCCTGTTGAGCTGATTGAGATTTTGATGCATTGTGGGGTGTCTATATCCTAATTTACATATAGGGGCATGTCGGTGACGATCGGGTTGATTGCATTTTTCAGGGATCGAGGGGCCATTTTGACACCTGAGCGTCTTTCCCGGATGGGCAGATTTACTAGCGACGTACAGGGGCATATTACTTTCAGATCCAAATGGTTAGATATGCGGACCCGGGATCCGACAAAGAGTTGGGCCAATGCATTTTTCTTGCACCTTCTCCTTCTCCTCTCTTCTCTCAGTAGAGGCCTTTCCCTGCCCCTTGGACAATTTTATTGTCTAATAGCAGGGTCCCTCTTTGTGAGAAAGATCTTTCTTCTCCTTCTCTTCTCCTCTCTTCTCTTAGTAGAGGCCTTCCCCTGCCCCTTGGACAATTCCATTGTCGGTCCCTCTTTATGAGAAATAGCTTTCTTCTTCTTCTTCTCTTCTCGGTGCTCTTGCTATACTGGAGGCCTTCCCTTGCCCTTGGACAGTTGGTATTCATTATCCAATAGCGGGGCCCCTCCCTATACTGGAGTAATTTCGGGCGACCACTTTCCTTCTAGAGATTCTACGGTCGGGGGAAATCCTGTCGTCCCACCTGATGGCAGGCAGAGGCCTGACAAAGGAGCGAGGGCAGATGATTTGGCATCCACCGTTACAAGTGATTCTTCGATTATTCTTCATAAGAAGTTTCACTTTCCTAATGATGTGGTTGCAGTGGCTCCTAAGAGATCTGATCGGGCTGGCGCCCCACCTCCCGGATATTTGACAATCTGTGAGACCCATTTGCGATCAGGGCTGCGCTTTCCACTTCCTGTTGAGCTGATTGAGATTTTGATGCATTGTGGGGTGTCTATATCCCAATTTACATATAGGGGCATGTCGATGACGATCGGGTTGATTGCATTTTTCAGGGATCGAGGGGCCATTTTGACACCTGAGCGTCTTTCCCGGATAGGCAGATTTACTTACGACGTACAGGGGCGTATTACTTTCAGATCCAAATGGTTAGATATGCGGACCCGGGATCCGACAAAGAGTTGGGCCAATGCATTTTTTTGTGAAAAATGAATGGGGCCTAATAGAGAAGCGGGGTAAGTTGAGGGACTTGCCTGTCCCTTTGCATGTTGGAGAGGAAGATATAAAAAGGTTTCTCAAGGTCCCTAACGTCAAGCATCTTTTATATGAGGTTAGTTATATGAATAAGTACACAGAAGAAGAGTTCCTGTTTAAGGTCGGGATGTCAGTCCAAGCTGGTAGATCAGATGCAAGGATGCTAAAACTGACTTCCAAGATTCCCGAATGACCTTCCGTAGTTTCAAAGGCGGCAACTAAGAGACAAACGAGAGGTGAAGATCCCCAGGCTTCAAAGAAGAAAAAGTTGGAGGGGGTTGCGACGAGCAAGGCTGCACCTGTCTCTTCTCCTTCCATAATTCATATTCCTGAGAATGGTTTGAGCCATCAGTGCATTGGGCGTCGCAAAGCTGGTGATTTGGTACGTGATCTTCTCCTGACACCTTTTTACTTTTTTTTTTGGATGACTTCTAATATATTTTTCTTTCTTCTTTCAGTTATCACGACGAACGGAGCTTGAGGTCGAAATTACTGAAGCTTTGAACCATTGGAACGACGAATTTGTGAGGGTCAAGTACCTTCACGGAGAGTTCAAGCAGAAGTATGATCTGAAGGCCAAAGAGGTGAAGGTGTTGGAGGAAGAATTGTGCGGATACAGGATAGAGTTGGCAAATATGGTGCACTCTGCTTCTCTCCAAAATCATCAGACATATCAGCTTCAGATCGACCTAGTGGAGGCACAATTAATGATTACCCAGCTCTCGAAAGATCAGAAATCCTCTGCAGAGAAGATAGCAGTGCTTGAAGCTGAGAATAAGAGGTCTCAGACTCTTATTGCTGAAAAGGAAGCCGTTCTGACCAGCCTTGAATCTTTGGGAGTTATTGAAGATTTCAAGAAGTCTATAGCCTTCAAGATTGTCATTCAGGATCATGTCCAAGGCGCCCGTGATCACATTTATGAAGTAGAGGTGAAGACTTTAGAGAAGCAGTGCATTGAAGAAGGATTCATTCGAGGCTTCTTGAAGGGGGTTTGTCTGGTGCAACGGAAGACCGGAGTTGAGGTTGAGGGCTGACACCTAGTCAGGCCTCAGATGACTTTTCTTCAGACTCTGATGGCGACGAGATAGAGAGCGAGTTGCAGAAGGCCTTTGCCTTGGAGGCTGATGATGAGATAGTGGAGATAGAGTAGATCTTTATCAACTGTATTACTTTATCTTTCTTAGTACCTTTTTGTCATTTGTATTAGGCGTTTGTGTTGACATGTGATGTCTTCTTTGATTTAGTAGTGGATTGCTGATGTATTTATTAGTGAAGATTATTTCAACTTGATTGAAAATTTTTCTTTATGCTCTTTTAAGGTACTCGACCTGTCTAAGGCTTTTAATAAATGCGCTCCAACTTGTGTGGATGAAGAAGAATTCTTTAAGGATATAAGGTTTATCCGAGGTTGTTTTGTAAAAGCCTTGCTTGATGACGTTAATCTTTGTGAAAGAGATTGAGAGAATCCACCGAGAATGTATGACCTATCCGAGGTTGTTTTGTCAGAGCTCTGCTCGATGACGTTAACCTGTGAGGAAGAGGTCGGGAGAATCCACCAATGATGTAGGACCTATCCAAGGTTATACGCCAGAGCTCTGCTCAATGACGCTAACTTGTTAGGAAAAGGATGTAGGACCTTTCCGAGGTTGTTTGCTAGAGCTCTGCTCGATGACGTTAACCTGTGTGGAAGAGGTCGGGAGAATCCACCAAGGATGTAGGACCTATCTGAGGTTGTTTGCCAGAGCTCTGCTCGATGACGTTAACCTGTGTGGAAGAGGTTAGAAGAATCCACCAAGGATGTAGGACCTATCCGAGGTTATTTCCCAGAGCTCTGCTTGATGACGTTAACCTGTATGGAAGAGGTCGGATCGGACCTCTCTGAGGCCGATCATCTTGTGATTGAGATTCAATAGAGATTGCGTACTTCTCAAATCAAGGGTTTCAGGATTGAAATTCACAACTTGTGTGAATATGTCAACATGATTTTTCTTGAATAAGGTGATAATTCAACTCAACGAAGGAATATATTTTTACTATATCAAATAAAGACATACTTCCCTAAGATAACTTAGGGCTGAAAAAGTTACAAACATCACAAACAAACAAGAGTCAAATGATGTTCACTACTGAAGATAAAAAACACACAATACTGAAAACATAATACATAAAATAAGTAGCACTATTGTGCTCTACTGATAGTACTTACGGAGATTGTCAACATTCCAGGTTCGAGGGAGCATCTTTCCTTCAACATCCTTCAATTTGAAAGTACCAGGCTTCACCATAGCTGCTTACCAAGTATGGACCCTCTCAAAGGGGGGAGAGTTTATTACATTGAGGGCATTTTCCTGCTGCCTCGATGTTGCGTAGAACAAGATCTCCAATTGATATACGCCGTGGTTTCATTCTTCTGTTATAGTGTTGGGTAACTCTCTGGTGGTAGGTAGCAACCTTAAGCATCGCCTTGTCTCTTGCTTATGGATGGAGGTCTAGGTTATGTCTGAGCTTTCCATCATTGGCGTTGAAGTCAAAAGTTTGGACTCTATGACTTGGGACTCCAATGTCGACGAAAATGATAGCCTCCATGCCAAAGCAGAGGTTATATGGTGTTTCTCCTGTTGGAGTCCTTGCCGTAGTACAATAGGCCCAAAGGACATTTGGGAGTTCGTCAGCCCATTGCCCCCCAGCCTTATCCAGCCGTGTCTTCAATCCTCTCAGAATGGTTTGATTAGTGACCTCTGTTTGTCCATTAGTCTGAGGATGGGCTACGGCCGTGTGCACTAGTTGAATGTGGAGATCTTTACAAAATATGGTAAAGACCCTTCCGGTGAACTGTGTTCCATTATCGGTGACAACTTTCGCTGGATTGCCAAAGCGACATATTATATTCTTCCATAGGAATTGTTTGGAATTTGCTTCAGTGATCTTCACTAGAGGTTCTGCTTCTACCCACTTTGTGAAATAGTCCACAGCCAAGATGATGAACTTTCGCTTTCCCGTGGCTATAGGAAAGGGTCCTAATATGTCAATCCCCCACTGGGTGAAAGGCCAGAGACTCTATAATGTTGATATCTCTATGGAAGGCAGGTGGGTGAGGTTGGCATGTAGCTGGAAACTATTACATTTTCGCATGAGCTCTAGTGCGTCATGCTTCATCGTTGGCAAGTAAAATTCTTGTCTCAGGACTTTTTGGGCTAAAGCTCTTCCACCCAGGTGTTCTCCACAAATGCCTGAATGTACTTCTCGGAGTGCATAATTTGACTATGAAGGAGGAAGGCACTTGAGATAGGGTCCTGAGAAGGCTCGTTTGTATAATTCTCCATTGACAATAGTAAAGTTTGATGCCCGCCTCCGAAGTCGTGCTGCTATTGTCGGGTCTTCAGGAAGAACACCGTTTTGTAAGAAAGTTAGAATGTGATCGATCTAGGATGTCTCCCTCGACTCATCGATCGATTGTATTATCCATGGGCCTGGAATACTCGGGAAGTGAATTTCTTCAATATACTTTCTTTTGAAAGTGTCACCGGTTGTGGAGGTAGCTAGTTTGGAGAGGGCGTCTGCTCATGCATTTGCTCTAGTAGAATATGGACGATCTCATATTTGTTTATACTGGCTAAGAGAAATTTTACTTCATCACAATATAGGGCCAGTTGAGGGTTATGGATGAGCCTGTCGAAGATAGCAGGATTGTGCCTCTTGTTGATCTCCTCGTACTATGCCAGTTCCTGATTGGGTGAGAAATTTTAGCTTGAAATGTGGGATCGAAGCAACGATGCTGAAGATTGACTGTAATGGCCTTCTAAAGATAGCATTGTATGCTGATTCTGACTTCACGACAATAAACTGGATGGAGTGTGTGGCTTGTTGGGGGAATTCTCCCAGCACAACGGGAAGGTTTATCTTACCTTCTACTCGTATAGGCCGATTATCAAATCCATATAGTGGACCTACAGCGGGTTGGAGCTTCTTTCGAGTGAGGCCCATGTTGAGAAATATGGAGTAGAATAGAACATATACAGAACTTCCGTTGTCAATCAAGATCCTTTTGACTTTGTAGCATGGGTCGCCGATCCTTGCACTTATTACGAGTGGGTCTTGATGAGGGGTATTTAATCCCTCTAAGTCAGAATCATCAAAAGTAATGGAATGATCGGCATGAGACTTCTTTGGTGTTGGTTCTTTAGTGGCCGCAATCAAGACTTGATTTGGCATTATAGGCCCTCCGGCAATAGTTTCAATTTCATCAACTATTTATCGATTGTCAGTCGACTGCCTTTATTGTCGATTCTGCCCCCCAGCTGGAGCATCATCATCTAGTACTGGTGGATTCTTGATGAATTATTGGAGATATCCTTGTCGGATCAGTCTTTCGATTTCTTCCTTGAGCTGTCTACATGCTTCGGTAGTATGCCCACGGCTCCGGTGGAAGTGGCAATATTATTCCTGGTTTTTGACATTGGGCTTCAAAGGTTGTGGCCATTTTACGCTCTCCTGGTCTTGGATGACCATCAACACATTTGCTCTGTATACATTAAGCAGTGTGTACTCCTTCTCTTGGCGACGCTCTCGTCGTGGCTGTGAGGGCCGAGGGGGAAGATTATAGTTCCCTTGCTTCTTCCATTGTGAGGATGGATTTTCCATTCATGGTGTACTTTTTTGCTTCCCAGTTGTTTGTTCAAACTGCTTCCTATGAGCGTTAATGACTTCGTCGGCAGAGAATTGGGCTTCTACACGATGGATCAGGTCCGCATATGAATGGACCGTATCTCACATGAGTGCTGAGTAGCATGGTCTAGGACGAAGCCCTCCGAGGAATACGCCTCTAAGTAACTCGGGATCTACCCCTGAAATTTGCCAGGCTTCTGTATAAAATCTTTGAAAATACTCCTCGAGGGACTCATTTTCATTATGGCGAATTCCTGAGAGGTGGGAAGAGTCTTTGACCATCCTTCGATTTGCAACAAAATGTTCGACAAATATTTTGGCTAATTTGACGAATATTGGGATAGATCCGGCGAGGAGTGAATAGAACCATGTTCGAGCTTGCCCTTTGAGGGTAGTTGGGAAGACTTGGCATAAAAGCGCATCAGAGGCTTGTTGGATGTGCATTATGGTTCTATAGTGATCAATATATTCGTACGGGTCAGATGTCCCGTCGTATGAATCGATGTTCAGAAGTTTGAACCTTGTTGGAATAGGGTGTTGAAGGATGGCTTCAGTCAGGGGTGATGACTTCTGAAAATCTCTACGACGAAGAGATTGTCTTATATTTCCAACGGGGAACTCTTATCGTACTAGTCTTCGTAATTCATGCCATAGGGCATTATGAGGGAGTTCGGCGATGTGTCGCTGAGTTAAATCTTCGGGGGCATCCGGAGGAATGTAATTTTGGAAGCCTACCCGCGAAGGATGTGTAGAGCTTGCTGTGTCAGCAAGCTCATTTTTCGGACGTGTTGGAGGACGCATTCTTGATGGTGGAAGTGGAACTTCGACATGAAGAACATCTTCAAATTCTGGTGGGTCTCGAGGAAGAAGTATATCATCTTGAGGTGCTAGTGTCGGTCCTCGAGTTTCTCGTAGGAGTTGAAGGATCTCATTATGCGAGTCCTCCATCTTTCTGATACGATCTTCCAGGGATGGTCTTGAAGTTCCTTCTCCGACAGGGTTTCGACTGCCAGGGTTAAAAGAGGCAGATGCCTGACGTCCTTAATTCAGGGACTGATTCCGAGATTGATGTGAATTGGAGCGGGTGGCTCCAAGGATGCGATTACTATGCCTGTTGACCATGGCGGTGATGCTTTAGGATAGTAGGATTATCGTTTCCCACAAACGGCGCCAAACTGTTGCGGACTAGAATATACGCGGCGATAGAGTTTTAATTGTTCGTCTTAGAGTTATACGCCACACAGAGAACACAAGATTTTTACGTGGAAAACCCTTGAACGGGGAAAAACCACGGGGCCTAGCCCAGTTGAAAAGATTTCACTAGAACTTGAGTTTGTTACAATGGGCTGATTCGTCTTTAAGGACGATCAGATTACAAGTAGCAATTGTTCAATAGAAGTCCGAGTGTCGAGTAATGGTCTGGCAGGAATTCAGGCTTTAGATGATGATAAGGCAGAAATTTCGGGCCTTAGATGAAGGTCTGACAAATGTGAGAATCTTCAATGGTGGCCTGACAAAGATGAGAGCTTCAAGTGAAAGACTGGCAGAGCATAGAGTGTCAGGTGGTGATCCAGCGGAGCGACGGCATTAGGTGATGATCTGGTGGAGCACAGGGCGTCAGGTGGTGGTCCGGCGGAGTGAGGGCGTTAGGTGGTGGTCCGATGGAGGACAGGGCGTCAGGTGGTGGTCCGACGGAGTGACGGCGTTAGGCGGTGGTCCGGTGGAGCACAGGGCGTCAGGTGGTGGTCCGGCGGAGTGACGGCGTTAGGCGGTGGTTCGGTGGAACACAGGGCATCATGTGGTGGTCCGGTGGAGTGACGGCGTTAGGCGGTGGTCCGGTGGAGCACAAGGCGTCAGGTGGTGGTCCGGTGGAGTGACGGCGTTAGGCGGTGGTCCGGTGGAGCACAGGGCGTCAGGTGGTGGTCCGGCGGAATGACGGCGTTAGGCGGTGGTCCGGTGGAGCACAGGGTGTCAGGTGGTGGTCCGGTGGCTCAAACAGTGTTATGAAGCTTCCAACAGCGCTTCGGGTCCTTGATTTGGACTCATTTGGGCTCAGATTGAGTCGAATTTGGAGTCGTTGGATTTGTATTTCCGAGACACTCAGTTCGACTATAAGTTTGTTGAAATCGGAGTTCAAATGGTCTCCGAATTAATTTATGAAGTTTCCAACTTGATTTTGCTTTTAGATTAGTGCCCGATCAAGATAATTTTTGTATGATGTATCAATTATTATTATTATTATTATTATTATTATTATTATTATTATTATTATTATTATTATCATTATTAAACACAAATAATACATGAACAAGTATATGATCAAACACTTACAAGTTAAACACATATGAACAAATGCTTTAAAAAAAAAAACTTTTTTTTTCATTTATCTTAAATTAAACATGAATGTCTATAATAATGAATTTAGCCCTCAAGGTGCTAAAGTTTATTAGGCTAGGGGCTTTTTGTGAATATGTTTGCAAAATAATCTCTTGTAGCTATATGGTGCAATTCTATATCTCCCTTGGCTACATAATCTCTTATGAAGTGATGCCTATTGTCTATATATTTTATGGGGGAGTGTTGAATTGGATATGCAATTTATACTAGTGTTATTACACATAATTGAAATGATTTCTACAGGTAGTCCAAGATCTAAGAGTTTCTAGTTTAGCCATAAGTCTTGAGCAACACAGCTCCTTACTGCTATATATTCTGCTTCAACTTTGAAGAGGGCTATTGAGTTCTATTTTTTATTGGACCATGAGACTAAAGATTATCCTATGAATTGACAAGTTCTAGAAGTACTTTTTTTATCTACCATACATCCTGTAAAATCAAAATCTGAATATCTTATTATTTCAAAATAAGTGTTGTGTCTAGGATACAAAATTCTTAGGTTTGGAGTGCCTAATAGCTATCTAAGAATTATCTTAATGGAAATCAAGTGGAATTCTTTTGGATTAGCTTAAAATCTATCACAAGGCAAAAACTAAACATAATATCTAATTTGCTAGCAGTTAAGTAAAGAAGTGATCCAATTATTCTCCTATACTTTTTATGATATACTAATTTTCCATTTGGGTCTTTGTCTAATTGAAGAATGGAGCTCATGGGATGTTCATGGCCCTAGTGTTTTCCATTTCATATTTTTTAAGGATGTCCTTGATGTATTTATATTAGCTAAGGAAGGTTCCATCATCCATCTACTTTACACTAAATGCAAGAAAGTATCTTAGTTCTCCCATCATACTCATCTCAAATTCTCTACTCATTATTTTTAAAAATTCATCACATAGATTTTTATTTGATGATCTAAACAAGATGTCATTGACATAAATTTGAATAATGAGTAAGTCTTCTCCTTCTTTTTTTAGGAAGAGGGTGGTGTATACACTATTCTTAACAAATCCTCGTTATAAAGGAAGGTGCTTAACTTTTATACTAGTCTCTAAGTGCTTGCTTCAATTCATATAAGATCTTCTTCAGTTTGAATACATGATTAGGAAATTTTGAATTTTTTAACCTTGGAGGTTACTCAATATAAATATCCTCTTGAATCACCCCATTTAGGAAAACACTCTTAACATCCAATTGATATAGCTTAAAACCCTTGAAGCAAGCAAAAGCTAATAACACTTTAATGGCTTCTAGTCTAGTTACAGGGGTAAAGGTTTTCTTAAAATCTATTCCTTTAATCTGGTTATACCCCTTAGCTACTAGTCTTGCTTTATTCCTCACTACTATTCCAAAGTCATTCATCTTATTTGAAAACCCACTTTGTTCCAACCATACTCTGGTTCTTTGGTTTCTTGATTAATTCTCATACATCATTTCTAACAAATTGGTTTAGCTCTTCTTGCATTACTACGATCCAGAATTCATCGACTATGGCTTGATCTATATTGGTGGGTTTTATCATAGCAATAAAAGCTGAATGATTAACCTCATCCTAAGTCCATCCCTAATTTTAACACCTTTAGACGGGCCTCCTAAAATAAGTTCTATAGGATGATCAGAAGAATATTTCTAATCTCTGGGAAAATTCTCTTGAGATTCTACTCTATCTCCTATCGTAATGGTTTTTACCCTTTAAATGACATC